TTTAAAATCCTTGTCTTTCGTTTCTTGACCTCTTGAAAATGTCCACTCACATCGGTGGACGTAGTCTAAAGAAAGTGCTCAGATATCTTCCCACACAGCTTAAGAAGTTGTTAACCTGTCTTGTTAAAAGTTGATTGGACGCCAGCTTGCTTAGAGCACAACAGTGGCGGATCTAGAGTTAGTGCCGTCAAGGGCGTAACACGATATTTTTGCCCCCCCCCCGGCTACGAAAAAAAACTCAGGAGTTGGCCGAAAATTACGCCCACCCCTCCATAAAAAAGGAAAAAAGTGCCGCCCGGGGCGGACAAATACCCCCCCCCACACACACACCCCACTTCATACACTACTGACACACAGCGGTACACGCGGTTTGCAATGATTGCAAACTACACAAGTATTGCAATTTCAATGAACTTCTTACCAATCGCTTACAAGTATCTTGACTGCATCAACGTTTGTAGGAAACAACAAGTTAACTACAAGATATTTAAATTTGTCCAGAGTCACTGGCACAAACATTTCCTGCCTTGTTACTCTGGGTAACTGAAGGTAGTGGCTCACGGCTAAAACATTTACCAACGTACCAAGTATTGTTGCAAGACCGATTGATGGCTAAATAAGCGTGATGTTTTGAATCAGCCTGAAAAAATACGATTATCCTTGAGAATTAAAACAAATCTTTTAAAGCAGTGGTTCTCAACCTTCCTAATGCCTTAACACAGTTCCTCATATTGAGGTGACCCCAACCATCAAATTATTTTCATTGCTTGGTCATAGATACGGGTTTCCCGATAGCCTTAGGGGACCCCTGTGTGAGGGTCGTTCGGCCCCCATAGGGGTCACGACCCACAGGTTGAGAACCGCTATTTTAAATACTTAAAATCATAGTTTGATATAAATTCAACTATGGCTTTATTATTCTGTTTCATATTGAAGGCCCCCCCTCCAACTCCCTAATTTTATCTCCCATACTATCTTTTGTCATGATCTTTATAAATTTGATTTCCATTACCGCAGGCTGCCGTAGAGCTGGTCCTGAACGGCAGGAATGTGGCCACGATCTGGGCCGAGAGCCTCCCCTACTGGGCCTCGGCCTCCAACAGCGCCATCTTGAACATGGAGACCGGAGACCAGGTCTGGCTCGTCCTGCTGAGCCGAGCCTCCTACCTGCACGGCTACATGTACACTACCTTCTCGGGACATTGCCTCTATCGGGGTCTTTGACGAAGGCTGGGCCGATAGACCAGGGGCGTTGGCACGCCTAAACAGGATCGTCGAGAAGGGGACAGACGTCGTCGTTGGAAAGGGGGAACGCATCACGGAGGCGGAGAACAATAGGGAGGGCAAGGGGAGGTTCAGCAACGGGCGGAAGGGCATTGGTGACGTGGACATCGAAGGCGTGGCCGACGATAATGTCAAGGTCGATGGCCTTGAGGACGGCGACGACAGGGAGATTGTGTTGCAGGGTCTGGGCGAAACTAACCAGAAGGGGAAAACTTACCACGTCACGGAAGGCACGCAAAAAGAAACCGGAGGTAAAGGGACGAACGGGAAACACCACGGCGGGGACCATCGGTGGAGAGGAACCACCAGGACACCATTTGCTCAAAATAAATCCGTCGACAGCAACGTCCACGGCACAGGCGTAGACCCTTTTAGGACCAACAATAAAATATCGCCAACCGGTTCCCCTTATAAACCAGGGTCGCACCAAGTCACGCTGTCGCCAGGGAGCAAAATGTGTGATGGAGACGCTGACGTCGTACACGTCTCGGAAGACTGCGATGGTGTCGACAGAGCCACGGTTACCGGAAGTGAGCAGGTCCACTCGGTGGCGACGACGACCAGTGTAGTCCGAGACGGTGGGGGCCGCCTGCCTGGCAAGCAGACGCCCGACACGATGAACGCGCAGACAAGAAAAAACAATGAAGGCGCCTCTTCCGTTCGCGTGGAGAGCGCCCGTAACTATAGCAACAGGACATTTCAAATACATTTCTCGCAGTGGTTGTTAGAGATAGGTTTGTACGTGTTTTTGTGTTTGCTGCTTTGCTCTGCGTAGAACTTTGACTGTGTACCCGGTATTACACACGTGTCTGTAAATATATCATGATGTGTACCTACAGTATAATTAGTAAGAAAATACCATCCATTGGAATATTTTGTGTGGTGTAAAACAGGGCGTCGTATGACGTCAATAATATTGATAAAAATATGTAGTAATGCTCCGTTCACACGATCAAATATTCGTCAAATTTTTTTTGGAACGCACTATTTTTGTTTTACTATTTTGTAACACAACACAGTGCGTTCAAACAGAAATTTGACCAAAGTTTGATCGTGTGAACTTGAGCATTAATGTCATTTGTATTTTTTTTTTTTTGTATTTTTTTTTTTCAATTTAAATTGTTATGATTAATGTTGTCATGCTTCTGTAGAGTCTAAGAAGGTGCTTCAGGGTGGTGTGCTTGGGGTTCTTTGGGGTAAAACAGAAATTTGACCAAAGTTTGATCGTGTGAACTTGAGCATTAATGTCATTTGTATTTTTTTTTTTTTGTATTTTTTTTTTTCAATTTAAATTGTTATGATTAATGATGTCATGCTTCTGTAGAGTCTAAGAAGGTGCTTCAGGGTGGTGTGCTTGGGGTTCTTTGGGGTGAGGTAGGTTGGGGGTGCTAAGTTCTTTGAGGTGGGGTTAGGGTGGGTGCTTAGTTTCTTTTAGTTGGGTCAATTCAGGATGGGTGGGATCTTTGAGGTGGGACAAGGTTGTGTGCTTAGTTTCTTTTAGTTGGGTCAATTCAGGATGGGTGGGATCTTTGAGGTGGGACAAGGTTGTGTGCTTAGTTTCTTTTAGTTGGGTCAGGTTGCCATAGTTAGGTATGTTGAGATGGGGCAGGGTGGAAGGTTAGGTCCCCTATCAAAATAATATTAGTTTCAAAAGAGATTTTAACGCTCACCAAGGCAGTGGTTTTTATAAAAGAAAAAAAACAAGGCGACATGCATTGTTTGATATGCATTTACTGTACACGGTATATCATCATTTCCCTCACCACACCCTACCATCTCCCCTCGTTACACCGTGGTTTAAGCCCCATGGAAAATACAGCAAGACAAAACAGCTTTTAGCAAGCCTTGGCACCCCTAGACTACTTGTCACCCCCAGGCTTCGGTGCGCCACTAGGCTTCGGTGCACTTTAGGCTTCAGCTCACTCCTAGGCTTTAGTTCACCCCTAGGCTTCAGTGCACCCTAGGCTTCAGTGCACCACGGATGTCTCTATTTGCACCATCTAAGATAGCCCCATGGCAATTATACTATTTCTCTCATATCTTTTGTTATTAACATTTTTTCAAAGTCATTGAAGTTTAAGCATTACCTTGCTACCATTGTTGGTGTCACACTTCATCTCAACCCATCTATTACCGAATTAACCCGACCTACTTTTTATCTAGCAGTTTTGTGTCATCGTGCGTCAGTCACACATTTGACAAGTTATTTATTCCAATGCTATCGTAGTGCTGCTTGCTACCGTTAGTTTTATCACAAGGTAAAAATGTTCGGATTTTTCGTGGTCGATATATTAGTCTGACGGGAGGCGGGTTGGGGGGGGGGGAGTCTTGGGGTGGGGGGGGGTGGGGGGACTGACGGGGCTTAACACTAACAGCATATGTAAGCTTCATTAAAACATGTTTATGTTTTAGCCCCTTTAACCCGGGGGGTGGGCGAACTTTCTGAACAGAGGGAGGCATTGAAATTATTTCGATTTTGATGGGGCGCATGATAAATACAGCGCTCCATTTTTAGCAGCAGTTATATTCAAACGTTTACGAAATCGCTGGTCTTGTTGGATCGGGCAGATTTTTTAGATTTTTTTTAAAACCGAGAATAAGGGTTGCTTGTGATACACGGCATTGAAGACTGACTTTTAAAAAGTCAGTTCGAGCTGAGTTCGAAAAAAAAAAAAAAAGCAGTGGAATAATTTTGTCTTGCGGGCCGGATTAAACGTTTCAGCTGGCCGAACGTGGCCCACGGGCTTTAGTCTGCCCATCCCTGTGTTAGCCCTGGCCCACGGGCTTTAGTCTGCCCACCCCTGTGTTAGCCCTGGCCCACGGGCTTTAGTCTGCCCACCCTTGTTTTAGCCCTGGCCCACGGGCTGTAGTCTGCCCACCCCTGTGTTAGCCCTGGCCCACGGCCTGTAGTCTGCCCATCCTGTGTTAGCCCTGGCCCACGGGCTGTAGTCTGCCCACCAATGTGTTATTGTTAGCCTATGTTATATCAGAGCTATTTTTAGGATACAAGATTATTTAAACAATGGTGCCAGCAAAAAAAAATATATTTATTATGGAGATCCCAGGGGTCGGCAACCGATTTTGAGTAGGGGCTCATTTCTTAAAATATTCTGGGAAACCGCATGGCAGTACGGGTAAGTATTCCTTCAACGTACCGTAATTTGCCATACAATTGGATACATCAGTTCATTAATGTGTATGTAGTATAAGTATAAGGCAGAAGGTTACTTCCGGTGCCGTATTTGTGTTGACATTTTTTATTACAACTGTACAAAGATTTATTCATGCCATTTACTTCATACTGTAGCAATGTGTTCTTGCCGTGTACTTTAGCGATGTGTACCCAGTTGGTAGTTCAGAGATTTTAAAAGCGTGTACGATGTAGGCCTACATATTATCATATGTCGTAGTTTAAAGAGATCCACTATCTTTGCACTACCAATGTTACTGGTCGTGAAAACTATATTATTATTAAAACTTGTCTAAAAGTTTGACGCCATGGTATGCCCTTTACAATATTATATTTCAAATGTCTTAAAAATGGCTCTCTTAAACGCCAACCTCTGGTGTTTTGGTTCTACGAACTCGGGAAAATGATTGAAGGGTCATATACAATACAAGCTTATAGAAATGGTGCTTTGAAAACTAAATTCTTGTCTTGATTACTTACAAAGTTACAGCATGAAGGACATCGTTATCCAACGGTGCATCAATAGCTTGAGAATTACAACACTTGTTTTTTTAAAAAGCATATTATTATATGGGGATAAGCTAATTAATGATGCTTCTAAGGTTGCATATTTCTTCTTCAAATGGTCTTATACCAAGAAAAATCCGGGGATATCTGAGCAAGCCTCTGTGATCCACCACTGCCACGCCTTGGTGATCCACCACTGCCACGCAAAGAAACCCACTGTTACTCTGAGCATTGGTCGAGCGACACTCATCATAATCGGGGCTGAAGACGAGTTGGTGTCTTTGAAGGAGATACAGATACCCCTTGATGGCAGAAAATTATTTTCAATTACAAAATGTTACTTATCCTCCATATGCAGCTAAGCCAGCGAGACATGGAGACATGGAGATATGGGGACATTGAGACATGGAGACATTGAGACATGGAGATATAAGGACATTGAGACATGGAGACATTGAGACATGGCGATATGGGGACATTGAGACATGGAGACATTGAGACATGGAGATATAAGGACATTGAGACATGGAGACATTGAGACATGGAGATATAAGGACATTGAGATATAAGGACATTGAGACATGGAGATATAAGGACATTGAGACATGGAGATATAAGGACATTGAGACATGGAGACATTGAGACATGGAGATATAAGGACATTGAGACATGGAGACATTGAGACATGGATATATGGGGACATTGAGATATAAGGACATTGAAACATGGAGATATAAGGACATTGAGACATGGAGACATTGAGACATGGAGATATGGGGACATTGAGACATGGAGATATAAGGACATTGAGACATGGAGATATTGAGACATGGAGATATAAGGACATTGAGACATGGAGGCATTGAGACATGGAGATATGGGGACATTGAGACATGGAGATATAAGGACATTGAGACATGGAGATATAAGGACATTGAGACATGGAGACATTGAGACATGGATATATAAGGACATTGAGATATAAGGACATTGAGACATGGAGACATTGAGATATGGGGACATTGAGACATGGAGATATAAGGACATTGAGACATGGAGACATTGAGACATGGAGATATGGGGACATTGAGACATGGAGATATAAGGACATTGAGACATGGAGACTTTGAGACATGGAGATATAAGGACATTGAGACATGGAGATATAAGGAAATTGAGACATGGAGATATAAGGACATTGAGACATGGAGACATTGAGACATGGAGACATTGGCTTTGAGAAGCAGTTTCCATTCATTTATTAGTTCATGGCCTTAAATGTCAAAAATTGAATGACAGCTATTGCTAGAACAGCGTTTCTCTTTTTATGTCCCCCGGAAACTATAAACCAAAACGCACTAGTTGACCTACAGGAACCCCAAACCAAATCACACTAGATGACCTCAGGAACCCTAAACCAAAAAACACTAGATGACCTACAGGAACCCCAAACCAAATCCCACTAGATGACCTACAGGAACCCTAAACCAAAACACACTAGATGATCTACAGGAACCCTAAACCAAAACACACTAGATGATCTACTGGAACCCTAAACCAAAACACACTAGATGACTAACAGGAACCTTAAACCAAAACACACTAGATGACCTACAGGAACCCTAAACCAAATCACACTAGATGACCTACAGGAACCCTAAACCAAAACCCACTAGATGACCTACAGGAACCCTAAACCAAAACACACCAGATGACATACAGGAACCCTAAACCAAAACACACTAGTTGACCTACAGGAACCCTAAACCAAATCACACTATATGACCTACAGGAACCCTAAACCAAATCACACTAGATGACCTATAGGAACTCCAAGCCAAAACACACTAGATGACCTACAGGAACCCTAAACCAAAACACACTAGATGACTAACAGGAACCTTAAACCAAAACACACTAGATGACCTACAGGAACCCTAAACCAAATCACACTAGATGACCTACAGGAACCCCAAACCAAAACACACTAGATGACCTACAGGAGCCCTAAACCAAAACACACTAGATAACCTACAGGAACCCTAAACCAAAACACACTAGATGACCTACAGGAACCCTTAACCAAAACCCACTAGATGATCTACAGGAAAACTAAACCAAAACACACTAGATGACCTACATGAACCCTAAACCAAAACACACTAGATGATCTACATGAACCCTAAACCAAAACAAACTAGATGACCTATAGAAACCCTAAACCAAAACACACTAGATGACCTACAGGAACCCTAAACCAAAACCCACTAGATGACCTACAGGAACCCTAAACCAAATCCTGCTAGATGACCTACAGGAACCCCAAACCAAAACCCACTAGATGACCTACAGGAACCCTAAACAAAAACCCACTCGATGACCTACAGGAACCCTAAACCAAAACACAATAGATGACCTACAGGAACCCCAAACCAAAACACACTATATGACCTACAGGAAACCCGACCCAAAACACAAACAAAAACAAACATGGTAGACAAACAAATCAGGTTTAATTTAGAGCCATTGGTAGAAAAACTAAACAGGTTTAGTGCCAATGGTAGAAAAACTAAACAGGTTTAGTGCCAATGGTAGAAAAACTAAACAGGTTTAGTGCCAATGGTAGAAAAACTAAACAGGTTTAGTGCCAATGGTAGAAAAACTAAACAGGTTTAGTGCCAATGGTAGAAAAACTAAACAGGTTTAGTGCCAATGGTAGAAAAACTAAACAGGTTTAGTGCCAATGGTAGAAAAACTAAACAGGTTTAGTGCCAATGGTAGAAAAACTAAACAGGTTTAGTGCCAATGGTAGACAAGAAAACATATCATTACTAAGAGGTTATTGAATAGACAAAAAATAGGAATATTTTTTTTTTTAAAGTTAAAGGGCAACATGTGTTCAAACTTGAGAACTATCCTTGCTTGTCTGCTGACACAATGAATGTGTATCTATTATAAGATGTGTACTGCACCTGTTGTGATACTCTCTAATACCCTCCTTGTACCAATAAATATTTTAGTATTTAAATGATTTTTTTGTTTCCATTGCCTATCAGTAGTGTATGACACACTTCCAGCAATCTAGTCACAGTAACAACACTTACATGAACAATCTATGTTACAGTAACACGCTAATCAACAATTTATGTTGCATAAAAAACACTATCAACAATCTTACAGTAACACACTACCCATATCAAGGCAATCTATTTTATGGTAACACATTCATCAGTATCTGCTACAGTTCACAGAGCCAGGATTCCATCAACAATGTGGCTGCATCACCTTTTCCAATTACTCTGTAGTAACACCTTTTGCAATTACTCTATAGTAATACACACAAAGAATAAGAAATGCAAAGGTTCTCAGTTCAATCATGATCAAAATTTATTCAGTTGTAAACATAATGTTTATTTTCTTCAATCTTCCACTCACACACACACATCATAATCTCAAACTCAAACCAATTTTCCAGTAATTTCCACTTAATTAAATATTGTTTAATAGAAAATTGGAATAAAACTAACCACATATCAAGCCACATATTACAGGCCAAGGACTGGCAGACTTGTACTAGAAAAATCTGTTTGTTAGTTGTTTTTTATACAGTAAATTTTACAATTAACAAGTTACTATGACAATAACCAGTTAGTATAACACACCAGACCAGAAGATTAAAATGGAAGTATTTAACATACCAATACAAGCCAACTTCTCACTGTCCAGCTGACTAAAAAAAAAAATAATATAAATATATATAGAATTTAGGGAACTTCAGAGTTATATATATGGATATGTGCAATGAAAATTTTAAACATAATATTGATAAAAACATATCCACTCTGCATGAGTCATCATTAGGCATTCACATGAACTTGCAGACCTCAAACAGGTCTATGACACACATCCACATTTTTAATGACTACATGAAATGAATATCAGGCTCAGCTTTCTCCTACACCATGGCCAGCATCTAACAGGGGATGTCGGTCTGTCCAGTCCTTGCCCTCACATCACACTCAGCTGGCTCACAGCTTGGGGTCACTCAGGAACTTTATCAAAGGCCTCCATCATTTTGCCTTGCCTGACAGATAACAAGGTGTATGCATCTGGACCAGTGGGTTAAGGTCAAATTTGGAAAGGGAAGTAACTTGAGTACATTGCGCTATGTAAGTATGGCACCAGATAGAGTCCAAAGTCCATTAAATGAATGCATTACAACATGAACCAAATACAACATTCATGCATTAATTAGAATAAGGAATTCAATAGTTTATTTAAAAGATTTTATTCTATATCACAGGTAATATTGCAGGTTTCAATTAAAGCAAATTATATTAAGAGATATATTTAGTAAGTTACATGGAACAATTACATTTAATATTTGCACACGATGCAAGAGGTGTGCACACGATGCAAGAGGTGTGCACACGATGCAAGAGGTGTGCACACGATGCAAGAGGTGTGCACACGATGCAAGAGGTGCACATCTTTAAGTCAAACTGGACACTGTCTTACTACAGTGGAACATAATAAAAGGTACAGCAGCAGGGAGGCAGAGACAGAATCCATTTGGGACCATCTGCATGTAATGAAAGCCAGAGGCTGATTGGTGGGGGGGAGGGAGGGGGGAAAGTTAAAAAATTGCATAAATGTCACACCTGAACTTCAGAAAGGATAGAATGTTTAGATTGGTTGTAAAAATATTAGATTGGTTGTAAAAGCTACAAACAATTTTTTTTAAAATACCAACTACGTTATTCATCCCAAGTAAAATTTAAGTTTTCATTTCACATTCCTATGGATGTTTGGTTGTATGTATGTGATGGTGTGTATGCGATGTAAAAGGAGGGGTTGATAATTATCATTATTGTTTTGTTGGTCATATTTTGATGGCCCCAAGTGTAACCATCACTGACTGTACAGATTGCCTAGAATCTCCAGCTTCATCAACTGTTATTCTGAGTCATGGCCGCACCCCTCCTTCCCCCCCCCCCCACTAAAAAAGAAATATGAAAACAAGCAAATGAGCTTTGTGGTTTATAGTACAGGTAGTACAGATTGCCTAGAATCTCCAGCTTCATCAACTGTTATTCTGAGTCATGGCCGCCCCCCCCCTTCCCCCCCCCCCCCACTAAAAAAGAAATATGAAAACAAGCAAATGAGCTTTGTGGTTTATAGTACAGGTAGTCTTAAGTGTCTGTGTCCATGAAATTGTGTCTATGAAATTGTCTGTGTCTATGAAATTGTATCTTCATGTGCAGTGACCACATAATAGTACAGGTAGTCTTAAATGTCTGTGTCTATGACATTGTCTCTTCACATGTGCAGTGACCACTTGCTACCTAGTGTCCACATCATTATAACACATCCACTTGATGTTTGGTGTCCACTTTTTATGTCATGTCCTTGATGATGACATAAACTGTCCTTGATGATGACATGAACATACCTGAACCAACCAATAAAATATTACAAATGGCGGCCATTTTGGCATTCATATTTATGCACCCCCATTGTTACGACTTGCATTCTTATCGTATAAGCTTTGATGTTTTCAGATGTTATGTTCCCTACACAGTTCCGTACCAGTTTTTCCTTGTAAATATGGCACAATAAATCTAAAAACTTGAGAACCAGGTCTCGGTGTGACAACTGTAATACTGTAACCTCACTGGCCTGTTACAACAAACCTTTGTAGAGGTCTTGGAGCAGTGAGGCTCAAACACGTGTTTCATTCAATGTCCTTGCTTTGTGGGTACATAAGGGTTTTTAGATCCCAGAAAGATAGTTATAGGAATTAATTGAAGAATAGGTATCAAATATAAATCAGGTATGCTGACCTGGAATAGTGGAGAGAAACATTTGAGAAGGGAGGGCGGGGGGGGGGGGATGACACATTCAGTTATAGACACATTATGTTGTCAAAGAACAGTCAGTTTCTTCCAGGAAGCATCAGGCAGTTGGCTTTTGTTTTGAACAACTCGTGGGAAGATTGCAGCAGATGTACAGAGAACTGTGGGGTCTGTCTTGTTGGATGGCTAGTGGAGTGTGGAATAAGGGTTTTTAGATCCCAGAAAGATAGTTATAGGAATTAATTGAAGAATAGGTATCAAATATAAATCAGGTATGCTGACCTGGAATAGTGGAGAGAAACATTTGAGAAGGGAGGGCAGGGGGGGGGGGATGACACATTCAGTTATAGACACATTATGTTGTCAAAGAACAGTCAGTTTCTTCCAGGAAGCATCAGGCAGTTGGCTTTTGTTTTGAACAACTCGTGGTAAGATTGCAGCAGATGTACAGAGAACTGTGGGGTCTGTCTTGTTGGATGGCTAGTGGAGTGTGGCAGATAGCAGATGGAGACTGATGGGTGGCTGATGAAGAGTGAACGGACGGATATATAGAATTTTCACAACTGATATCCTTACACAAAATGAATATACTGACCTAATTTACATATCTGTTGAAAGCGTAGATTAAAAGGAAATGCCCATATCAAGTGCTCCCATTTTGAACAATGGAGTCAGGTTCATCTTCCAATGCTTTGAACAAACAAGGGAGGTCGGGCAAGTAACTGCTCGATGGAGTGTAAAGTCAGAGAATCCAAAAGTTCTGTCCCTGTTTTCCCAAATAGGATCTTGCTGTCTTTTTAATTTCATAATCCAATGCAAATGAACCATAGTCTCATTGCAGCATTGGTTGTTTGTTGACATGACAGTCATAGTCTCATTGCAACATTGGTTGTTTGTTGACATGACAGTCATAGTCTCATTGCAGCATTGGTTGTTTGTTGACATGACAGTCATAGTCTCATTGCAACATTGGTTGTTTGTTGACATGACAGTCATAGTCTCATTGCAGCATTGGTTCTTTGTTGACATGACAGTCATAGTCTCATTATGCAAGAAGCACCATCCCCTCCAATCATATCTATTGAGGGTCATAATCTTTCGGTTGTTGATCATTTCATATACCTGGGATCCAATATTTCTAGTTCTCTCTCCATTGATGAAGAGATAAATATCAGGATTGCAAAAGCAGCAGCAACTATGACTAAACTGAATAAGCGGGTGTGGAATAATCTCAATCTAACTAATAAAACAAAAATAAGTGTCTATCAGGCATGCGTGCTAAGCTGCTATATGGTAGCGAAGTGTGGACCACATATACCAGTCAGGAGCAGAAACTCAACAGCTTCCATCAAAGATGTTTGCGTAGCATTTTGCGCATTCGTTGGCAGGACAAGGTGCCTAACGTGGAGGTTTTGGAACGTGCACACATGTTTAGCATATTCTCCTTTCTTATCAAGAGACGCCTTCGCTGGTTAGGTCATGTACGGAGAATGGAGAAAGGACGTATCCCAAAGATGCTGCTGTATGGAGAGTTGGCAGAGGGGACAAGACATATTGGACGGCCACGCCTGAGATTTATTGACGTTTGCAAACGAAGCATGAGGGAAGCCAATAATTGAAACAAACGAGTGGGAGCTCATTGCCGAACATCGCTCCAACTGGCGAACAGCAGTGTTTGAAGGAGTAAAAAAGGCAGAAGATACTCGAAACGAGGCCTTTGAATCAAAAAGAACAATTCGGAAATCAAGAATTTACCGGGACTCAATCTTCTCCTTCGCGAGATGCGGCCGTGATTGCCATTCTAGGATTGGCCTAGTGAGCCACTCGACAAAGTGTAGAACTATATAGCTACTCCATCGTCTCACGAGGACGGAAGGATGCCATATATATACATAGTCTCATTGCAGTATTGGTTGTTTTTTGACATTAGAGTCATAGTCTCATTGCAGCATTGGTTGTTTGTTGACATTACAGTCATAGTCTCATTGCATTATTGGTTATTTTTTGACATTAAAGTCATGGTCTCATTGTTATAGAACTGCTACAGTTGACATCTGTTGTCATAGAACTGCTACCGTTGACATCTGTTGTCATAGAACTGCTACAGTTGACATCTGTTGTCAAAGAATTGCTACAGTTGACATCTGTTGTTATAGAACTGCTACAGCTGACATCTGTTGTCATAGAACTGTCTCATCTTCTCCTGGGTTGAAGTAATTTCTAATTAAGTCTCTTAATGTACTATCATTGTAGTCAACATTTGCGGAATCGTTCATTTCTTTTAAAATGTCATTTCTTTTATAACGTCCCAAAGTACTTTTCAACTCATCCAAAGGAAACCATTGATTGCCAGCATCTGATTTTGTGCATGGATATGAATAGCTCCAATGAAGAAGAGCTGCACAAACATTATTTTTAAAATCTTTTCCTTCTGCTTCCCTGAATTCCATGTCCTTTGTCAAACCAAAACTTGCCAATATAGAATTTCCATCAGCAGTGCCCAAGTCTTCCACTAGACACAATAAAAGTCTTTCAAAGGCACGGTTTAAACGCTCAGCTTTCTCCAGGCTTTTCATCAGCCTTGCAATGTCTTCCTTTCTCTGCCTTGCAATGTCTTCCTTTCTCTGCCTTGCAATGTCTTCCTCTCTCAGCCTTGTAATGTTTTCCGCTCCCTGGCTTGTAATGTCTTCCTCTCTCTGCCCTGTAATGTCTGCTGCTGTGTCCTGCAACACCTCAGGTTCCGGTGGCAGTTTATATCCTATGCTGTCAAGTGAAGCACGAACTCTATGTGCATGATTAAGTTCTGGGTTCAATGTGACCCAAAGTGAAAGTTGGCCCATATAAAAACCCTTTAGATTCTTAACAGTGCCCGGTGATGTGAGCAGACGAGCGTCATTTAGCCCATCTAGAAATTCTTGACAGTCGCGTATCCCAATGATATTGATAACCTTATCAAACAACTGGCGAAGTTCAGGTGCAATATAGCCTGTGTCTAATTCATCACGTCCATTCACAAGTGCTAAAAGACCTTTATTAAGTTCATTATTACCATTATTCTGCTCTAATTTTGTCAATTCCCGTCTCCGAACGTGGGAGAAACACAACTTACGTTTGAGCACCACATATAAAACAGCTGCAATAGCCAAAATTAACAAAATCGGAATTATAATAACATATACATATGTGAGGTCATCTCCTGAGGGACTTGTCTTATCATTAACAGTTGTTGCCGTTGTAGGTGTCGAGCCAACTGTGCTCACACTTATATTCGGGGCTGCTGCTGTGGTTGTTGTGGCGGTTGTTGTTGAGGTTATAATATCACGACATTCATAAGACCCTGGAGTGTACTCAACCATCTTGTACTGGTCACCACATCGCCACTGGATGTCCTCGATGGCTGAGCCATTACGTTTGATCACCCAGCCATAGTCTGTCACCATTGTCCACGGCTTACAAAAGGTTTCTCTGTGTCTTGTCTTATTTTGGTAGGAACTGCAGGAGAAGAAAACAAGGACACCATAATATAGTGATAGGAATGAATTCAATCCAAAACATCGCAACAATTTAAATGATATTGAAATAAACAATAGTGAACAATATGCCACGAAAATGTGCTCACATGAGCAATGTTCTTGGAACAGTATGCCATAAAAATGTGCTCATAGGAGCAATTTTTTTGGAACAGTGTGCCACAAATATATACAGTTGGGTAAATGTAATTCCTTGATTATATATTTGGCACAGTGTATTCATAGTTCCTTTACTTACTCATGCTTTTATGTTATGAGCTACACTTAATTATGAAAGCTTTTTGTTGTATTTATGAAACTGTACCAGCTGATTGGTTTTGACAGGAAGGATATCAATACTAGCTAATTGCTGCATAAGGTGCAAATGTGTACTGTGCCATCTACCCTGATGTATGCTAGAAAATGTACCAGCTAGTTGACGTTTACATGTGGCTGTACTAGCCAGTTGATGATGTGTAGCTGCACAGCTAGGTGATGTTAAAATCTAGCTGAACCAGCAAGATGATGATGTGTGGCTAAACCAGCTAGACTATGATGTGTAGCTGAAGCAGCTAGTTGATCATGTGTAGCTGAAGCAGACCTGTTTACTCTTATGATTTTGGCGTACAATGTACGATTTTGAGGTGTATACATTTGATATACTGTATTTATTTTTTACTATTAAAATAATGTATTGAACGCATTCGTGATGATATTGTACGATTTTAAGAGTTTGAGGGTAAACAGGTCTGCTAAAGCAACTAGATGATGATGTGAAGCTGAACTAGCTAGACTATGATGTGTAGCTGAACCAGCTAGACTATGATGTGTAGCTGTAGCAGCTAGTTCATGCATACGTGTAGGTGTACAGGTGGGTGATGTTTACATATAACTTAACTTAGATGTTTAACAAATCATTTTTTCATCATCAAGTTATCATGTATGAAGGGATTTGTTTTTTTCCTGTATATATCCTTTCAAACCATTGTTTTTTCAAACCAGAGTTTGCAAATCTCTGGCAAAACTAACATTAGTCAGTGTAATCACTAAATTATCCCATCTCAATATTTCTCAAACATCCAAACATGTATAATGTACGTCTGTGGTAAGTTAACGACATAGGTTTATGCAATTAGTATAGAGAAACTCAAGATCAGATGACATTAGTTGATGTGTATCTAGTATCTGCTTATCTAGTATCTGCTTATCTAGTATCTGCTTATCTAGTATCTGCTTACTTTGGTGGACATGGAAGGCATCCATCATCCTTACATTTTGTTCCTTGGGAACATGTAGTTGTGCAAATGTCTGAATCAGCTTGTAAAACTTGCACAGACAGGGCAGAGACAATCATCAACTTTACCAACACCTCCATTGTGTTCTAGGCTGGAATGATCACAAAAATAAGAATGCATTAATACCCATATAAAGTATGTTCTAGTTTGGTAGTACTAAGTAAAATTGCCCAACTAAACAACTCTTATAAGTTATAGCTATTTTCCTTTGCAACGGTAAATTTCAAACATACAGCAGAGATAGCCAGATGGGATAGAAGAAGGGCAACTATTATTTTTGAGGAGGTCAATACTGAATAGAAAACTTCAAACACTGAAGTGGGAATACAGAAACCACATTTAAGTGAAATATAATTATGTTGATGTCCCATTATCTGTATTCATACCAGTTATCTTATGGTTTACAGAAAAAAAATCTGTAAGATGACAGAAATAATCATTATAAAAGCATTTGAATTTGGCCCAAATTAAGGGCTATTACAATTATCTGGTGACTAGCTATAGGTAATATTATAATTTTAACACTGTTTAGTTGATCACACTATTTTGGATGCTTTGTGGCAATATGGCCAATAATTTCCTATTTTTGCCAGCTATTTTTGCCAGCTATTTTTGCTCTGATCAGCTACTCGGGCAACAGGCTTATCTCAAGCACAGGTGAAGAGATGTTAAACTTGGTGTTGCAAAGATTTGAACCAGAGACAGCCAAAACTTTTCTCCAATGACTTAATCTCAATGCCCCTCAAATAGGTATGTCTTAACTAACGCCGAAGATGTCACCCAGCTGTCAATGTGAATTCTCGATAAGTCTTATCTAATATTAAAGGGATGAAAACTATTGATACTGTTATAAAATAAAAACGTTTTTGCTACTCCATGCTATAAACATTCTTGACATTCTGGGTATCTCTCAGGGTAACAATTAAAAGAATTTCCAGAAGATAATAAATTATGTAAATATTTTCAAAGTTCTTATCACTACAGGTTTTTAAAAAAAACTGCCTTAATTATCCATTTTAATTTGGGAAAAGGCATCTAACATCATATTTTATCCTTCTCATGTTAAAAATAAGGTCTTAGATATATTTATTCCAAACCAGTATGACAAATCAACTTGTCAACTACATCTTTACCTTCTGTAAAAAAATACTTATAATAACAAATATCTGTTATTTTGTAATAAATTAGCTTACCATATTTTTTTTGTTCAATCATTTTTTATTTTTAATGGGGAAATGGGAGATGTGGCATTTTATAAATTGTAGGCTACCAGCGTTGGTTCTTATACTTGAACTTAACTTTATTAAAATTAATAATATGATATTATTAAGTATTTTTGAAATTCGTTGCAAGAAAAAGTTTATAAAATTTAAAAAAAGTGTAGAGTAAGTTAGACTCCAAATAAAATGTTTCATTGTATTCTTTCATAACTCAGCTTCAAGTTCAAGCATTATTTTATTCTGCTTTCAAGTAATTATACTCTAATTTAATTAGGCTAATGGAATGTGAATGGGCAATATTACAGTTCAAGCTGACCAAGCACTGGCCTTCCTAGGTTAACTTACACTGAATGGGAGAGAAGACTAAACATTTAAGATCAACTGACTAATTCGTTAGTAATATTGACATTGTTTTCAATTTGGTGTCTAATTCAAGTTCCAAACTTAGTTTCAGTAGTTCTTAGTTATTACTTTTAGTATTAAACATGATATAGTAAGTACTAATAACTTGACTGTAAGTAAGCATAATTAGTAATTAAGTGTCGTAATTGTAATGCTACCGTACCTACCACTACTATCTAGCTTCTAAATTACTTAATACTAATAATTAAATAATACTAATACTCATACTAGGGTTATGCCTTTTTGAGTCATGACGACATGATGTTATAACTCATGATGAGAGCTTGAGCCTTGATTCAGGCCATGAAGTCAAAAGAATAAAAACATAATTTCGATTGTTTGGGCTATTTTATGCTGGTAAAATAAATTTATAAATCGATCCAAACTGACGCAAGAAGTACAATCATTCCAGAGTAGCCAAAATTAAACTCTCCCGTCTGAATTTAACATGCAACTGGACAATAAATTTTGGATAATGGGGAATTCCCTTTATGGAAATCCCCACAAAAGTTGGGAAATCCCCTAACTTTACATCATAAATCTAAGAATAAAATGATTACAGCATTACTAATAAATAATTATCTGATACTTTTCTACTAATTGGCAATTTCAAAAGAAATATTTATTTTGGAGATATTTAAATAACTTACACTAACGATATGGTCACATTGACGGATGGATGCCAGATATTTCAGTAATTTTTTAAAGTTTTATTATTACTATTATTAAGTATTGTTATTTAGTTATTCATTGAGCCTAGATCCTGTCTATATTATTTTAATTTTAAGGCCTAGATAAATTGTGCATATTAAGGCCTAAAAGAGCAGAAGGATGGAAATTAAAAAATCTTTAACAATTTTTTGTTTTTCTTGCTACTAATTTTTTTTTTTGTGGGGGGAGGAGGAAAGGGGGGGGGGGACTTTTTAGGTGGTGATCAGTTGAGGCGTGGGGTCAAAGAAAGGCTTTAAACGTAGGTAGCTCTGACGCAAGTTAATTTTTGTTTCGAAAGACCCTCCCCACCCCCCACCCCCAGCTTTTTTTCCCCAGTGCAGCTGCTTGGTTCAGCCCAACGAAAATAATTACGTCACAAATAACGTTGTAGTTATAGAATCACCTACAAATAACTATTACTATTGTCATATCTAAAGAGTGTTATGACACAAAGCAAATGTATGACTATGACCATAAATCAAAACATTGCAGAGATTTCTTTGAAGACGTCTTCTGACTACCAGCAAACCGCCTTCCATGCTCAAGCTCACCAGAGAATATTCTTTTGGGACGCGGTCGTCTGACATTCGAACATACCCCGCTCAGCGAAGCTGGGACTTCATTAAAATGGTAAAGATGCAGGGGAGACCTGCCTGTGCGGTTACCTCAGTGTCTGGGACCCTGCCCTGCTATTTGATGTTTTGGAGTTTTCTGAGACTTGTCACATGAAAGTGGTTCAACATTTCTGCATGGCGTTGATAGACGGTTCACGTTTCACAACATAGAGATGCGCAGGGACTACAGCCGCCTTATATATGGTACATCCACTTTAGTTTGAGTGCTGATACCTCGCCTGGATCATACATTCTTAGACAATCTGCCATAGGTTGACTGGCCAATGAAAGACGAAGACTAACCTTGTCATCAATGGTGCTGCTTTGGGACAGTGTGCTGTCAAGGTGTGAGGAGCCATTATTCACTTTGAGCCCCTCACCATTTACTTGAACGTAACTCTCAACATTAGTACTTCGAGGAATTTGTTGGTAAAGGACCTCACTCTTTTTTTTATATTAATGGTGAGACCGAAGTTTGTGCAGGCACTGGAGAAATGAGTAGCACTGCGTTGGATATCGGCTTCTGGTCCAGCGTTTAGGTCCCACAATCGTCGGCATGCCCTGATGATGTCTGTCAGGACCTTGGGTAAGGAATGTAGCTTCTTGAGATTGATTAGTCTACCATATGGGCATCCCTATTTGGCCTTAATCTTCCAAAGACCTTTCCTTTTAACCACGTCCTTGGTGGACAGCGCGTTACACTCCCGTGTCTGCCAACACTCTACTACTGTCTGCCAACACGATATTGTCTGCCAACACGATATTGTCTGCCAACACTCTACTACTGTCTGCCAACACTCTACTACAGTCTGCTAAAACGTCTGACAATATGCTAGGGGATCGTCTGACAATATGCTAGGACAGCGGTTCTCAAACTGTGGGTCGCGACCCTTTTGGGGGTCGAACTACCCTTACAGAGAGGTCGCCTAAGACAATCGGAAAACACACATTTATTAAGGGGCAACGAAAATAATGTTATGGTTGGGGGGAAGGTCACCTGACAATATGCTAGGGGGGGTCATCTGACAATATGCTAGGGCAGGCCTGCACAACATACGGCCCGCGGGCCGCATGTGGCCCGCCAGCACCCACTTTGCGGGCCGCAAAGTAACAAAATATTTGTTTATTCTTATTATTTTCTTAATAGCTTTCCCCATGACCTATAATCTTTTGGCCCGCAGAAGTCTTGTCCTACTTTCTTTTGGCCCGCAGAAGTCTTATCCTACTTTCTTTTGGCCCGCACAAGTTTTTCTTAAAGTATTACGGCCCCCTTACATTTTGAGTTGTGCAGGCCTGTGCTAGGGGGTTCGCCTGACAATATGCTAGTTGGTTGTCTGACAATATGCAAGGGGTCGCCTGACAATATGCAAGGGGGTTGCCTGACAATATATGCTAATGGTTCATTCAAGACTTTAGTAATCTAAGTGGGGTTTTTAATGTGGATTTTTTCTTATTTGTACCAGCTTCCATCAAAAATTGTAAATATTATTTACAGGGATCGAAAAAGTTGCCTATTATTACTACACAGTGACACACAAAAGCTACTTTTAATTTAAAAAACCTATGAATCCTCTAGTAACTGGCCAGCATGTAATTAAACTAAAAGATTTTGAACTATAAATTAAATTAAATATTGAATTCATAATAGTTTTCATTGTTATCGCTGTTTTATTTGTTTCTGACTATAATTTAAAAGTTGTTACCTTTAAAGTGCATTGTGTAACTTACATTTGTTACCTTTAAACGGCATTGTGTAACTTACATTTGTTACCTTTAAACGGCATTGTGTAACTTACATTTGTTACCTTTAAACGGCATTGTGTAACTTACATTTTTTACCTTTAAACGGCATTGTGTAACTTACATTTGTTACCTTTAAACGGCATTGTGTAACTTATATTTGTTACCTTTAAACGGCACTGTGTAACTTTTAATTGATCAGACTCAAACTGTCATGAAACTGAGCAGCGAAGCCTATTTACCAAAATCATTTGTCAGGAAATAAATTTTCATTGAAATAGTTTTATGACACCATTTATTCTCTTCTTTTATCAAAATCTCAAGTCATTGGTGAAGATTAGTTTATTTTGTGAAATTAAAATCTGTAATAATTTACACACGTTTCTGTCATTTCAACTGGTAGTTTAAAAATGTGCCTCTTTGTTCCAAGGAATCAATTTGGTTTTGATCAGCCGAAAACTAAATAGTTAAAATTATAAATAAACCTACATAATTTGTTTTAAAATATATTTGCCACATAATTCCCTTAATATGCATGCCTGAATCGTTACAGAAGGGGGTGGCTATTTCCAGAGAAATGATTCATGTTGGTTTTGTTGAAATGTGTGTTGCTCTTATCTTACATTTGCTTCTTTTGTCTACTATTTATGCTTGATTTTCCATGTCATTTTTTTGGTAGGGTTGGTGCTCGTATTTGTATATGTAGGCAAATGAAGATGTGAAATAATGGTCCTATGAATCTTATCCACAAAGAACACCAACTGGTCAATTATAAAGTATGTCTCAATGTGATCTCCCCCCCCCCACACACACAGTTTTAAACACACTTTCCGTATTTTGCAGGGACAGTGTACCCTTCTACAATACAGAAAACACTACTAGTTCTAGGGCCTGTAAAAAGGGCACATAAAATTGTCTTCATGAACATTTTAATATTTTAAAGTACATTTAAGGAAGCATTATATTTATAGAACTTGTGAAGATGATGGATTCATAATACTTTCTTTACAAAGGGTCTTTCTGACGGTGAGGCACTGTGAAGGCTTCCAATTTTGTCAAAACTTGAACTATTTGAATTAATATACATTTTAACTAAACCTGGTAATTATAATAATAACTAAGCCAAGTGGAATTTAAACACTCGTTTGCATATTCAAACATAGCTGTAGCATTGCCCGGGTAAAACATGGGATGCAAAAAGAGTATAATTTTCAATCAGGTAACTTTTAGAGTTCACATATCAGGGCCAGCCATCTAATAAAAACATTGATTACAATAAAACTCACCTTATTGAACGGTGGGTTTCTGATTGTTGAGATGTAGTCAGTAAAGATGAAACAGTTAACTGGTCTGTTGTATTAATCATTCAGTACAATATTCTATGCTGGAGTCAATGTTGAAAAAGACCTAGCGGTGGCAAATAGAAACAAAAAGTGTTGTTTTTTTCCCCAAGTGGTAAAATATGTATTTTCTTCAAACACAAACACCAGACCTGTTTACTCTTACAATTTTGGCGTAAAATGTACCATTTTGAGGTGTATATATTACATATGTTTATTTTGTTACTATCAAGATAGTTTATTGAACAATTTTATGATGATATCGTACGATTTTAAGAGTTTGAGGGTAAACAGGTCTGCAAACACTGACTCCCTACCAAGGAGGTAAATGACATATTATTAGTTTTCTTGTTGCTAAAAAACAAAACTCTGAAACGCAAAATAAATAAAGATTTGAATTAAAAATGTTAAGAAAGTACTCACCAAATTAGCAATCTTGCTGATCACTCCGTAACAAAAGTTGAACAAAGCACCCAAGGCAAAATGTGACTATTTAAAAAAGTGGTTCAACTTTTTTTGTTTCATTATCATATTTAACTTTGAATTTAAATTAACAATATTTTAAACCTTGAGGAATAAATAAAATCAGAATAGCTACAGAAAATATTGTTAACCATCCCCTTTGTTTGTGTAGAAGTCAAATATTTGTAGACTCATAATGAAAGGTCTCAATAGTATTTACTGCTAGATGTATTTTTTATTTCCCCATGGGCCTAATGGCTATACATTAATATATATTACATGCCAAACCCCAAGAGTAAAAACACTGTATGTTACATAAGTTGGACTCAAAAAACAAAAAGTGGCACAAAAATAAAAAATATATTTAAGCTGAACTAATTGTCCTATACTAGGGTGTTCTATACTAGGTCAAAACGGGATTGTGCCGCTTTTTCACAATCGTACCCGGTGTCCCAAAAAAGCCTCTCGGGACACTTAAATGTCCCGTTTCTAAAACCAAACATTTTAAAATCACTAAACTTCCTAATTTATAATATAACTTCAAGAAATATTTTGGCTAGCTGTGTAGCCAGTGCCAGTAG